CTGCGGGAGCCCAGCGTTTACGGCCGCCTCAGTGGCGCTGAGCGGGACCTCATCCTGCAGCAGCGCATGGATGCCGGCCGGCCCTGCTTGCTGGTGGCCGAGGTCAGCGACGCCTTCGAGCGGCCGGGTGGTGGCAGCCGGCCGCAGAGCCGCGAGAGCAGTCGGCCACAGAGTCCCTCCTCAGTTGTGTCGCTGGAGGAGAGTGGCTCCCTCATTTACTGCTACCAGGAAGCCAGCGGCGAGTGGAGGGTGCTGACGCGCCTGCCCGAGGAGGCCAATGCCAAGGGCTGCGCCATGTGTGTCCTCCACAACTACCTCTTCCTGGCAGGGGGCATTGTGACAGGGCCGGTGGGCAGCGAACCCAGGGCCCGCCTTTCCGACAAGGTCTTCTGCTACAACCCCCTGACCGACACCTGGAGCCAGGTGCGGCCGCTGGCTCAGCCCCGCTCGCAGCTCAAGCTGCTGGCCCTGGATGGTTACCTCTATGCTGTGGGGGGCGAGTGCCTCTTCACTGTGGAAAGGTATGACCCACGGGCCGACCGCTGGAGCCCTGTGGCACCTCTGCCCAAGGGTGCCTTCGCTGTGGCTCACGAGGCCACCACTTGCAACGGGGAGATCTATGTGTCAGGAGGCTCCCTCTTCTATCGCCTGCTCAAATATGATCCCAAGCGTGACGAGTGGCAGGAGTGCCCTTACAACAGCAGCCGCCGGCGCTCTGCTGACATGGTGGCCTTCAAGAGTTTCATCTACCGCTTTGATGTGAGCAGTGGCCGTGGTGGGGAGCAGGGCGCAGGTGGTGGGACAAGCGGTGGTGTTGAAGTTTTCCGGTACAACACAGTGGCCAAGTGCTGGAGCCAGTGCGCCAGCCTGCGGCCCAGCGGTGGCCCCATCCAGCCCTTCCGCTGTGCCCCCTTGGGCAACACCATCTACTGCGTCAACCGGACTGGCACCCTTCGCTTCAGCCTAGCCCAGGACGGTGAGGTGGAAGCAGATGGTGGGCTCAAGGGCACCTTTGACAGGGAGCTTCTTAAAGCTCCCTTAGATGTCAAGGGTGTCCTCCTACCCTTCGTGCTTACCCTGCCAGAGAGGCTGGACAAAACCGGGGACCAGGAGGGTTCCCTCCCACTGTGAGGTGGCCAGCCTGGCTCTGGCTTCCTGTGGCGGGAGTTGGGTGGCAGATCCACAAACTCCCATTGACAGAGGAGACCCACTCTCTTGTGTCTGCGGAGAAAAGGGACTTGCCCTTTCCTCTGCTCTGCTCTCAAGATCATGAGCTGGTTTTAACTCAGTTGTAATTCTTCTCATGTTTGCTGTGCTTTGTGTGAAATGCCAAGCACACAAAAGTAAAAGCTGCTATAAAGGATAATCTCTGGATTATGTTTGTGCCAATCCCCAATCTGAGAAAAAAGTTTTTACACCTGGATTTTTAAAATATTCTCTACAAGAGTGTCATAATGGGACATTAGTGTTGGTTGTGTGTTTACACATACTTGCAACCTGGGCTGGAGCATTTTCTGTCATTTGTGGCTTTTTCTCCTCTGGGATGTTACTGAGGGATAAACATTGCTGGCAACATAGTTTAGCTGCATTTGTTTTCATGTTAAACCAACTATTTCCTGTGTTTAAGAAGTATAGGAAGAACGCCTCCATCACAGCCTTTCATTTCTGGTGCACTAGACAGTGTAAGGAAGCTGTGGCACTGTATTAGTCCCAGGAATTTCAACCACAGATGATTTAACAGATACCAAACTTAATGTTTTAAGTAACACAAATGTGTGCCACATGTTTAACTTGGAATGCAAAAAAGAGAAAAAAAAAGTCAAGCCACCTTTTTAAAATGTGGCATTTTGTGGTAGATATGAAATACTGATATGTTCTTTATTTGAAAAGGCAATGGTTTCTGTATGAAAAAATACTGTTTTATTACTTTTTATGATCAGAGATTTTAAATTAAAAATGAACTGAAGCTGTTCAGACTGCAACCAGTTGACATGACCATGTATGACACTAGAACTGGGGAAAAACTTTGTACTTTGTGTGCTCTTTAATTGACTGCAGGTCAAGGAAGGTTAACCTAAACCAACCTGTGGCAAAAGGCCTTTCCCACTTATTTCAAGACCATCAAAAGGGGACATGGAAAATAGAAATGTGCTACACATGTTTATAATATTGTGCCACTAGTATGATGTTACTTCCCTGTCTTTTGATTGAGAGACTGCTTTATTTATTTTGAACTAATGATTGCTGTAATCAATAAGTTCTTGTTAATTGCAGTACGTGCTGATGGCGTACGCAGTCATTGTGATTCTAAACTGCCCAAGAGTGCTGTTTGTGGGGCAGCATCCAAATGAGGCAAAACCATACAAAACTTCTTCCTGCCTGTGGAAAGTTGGAGCACACTTTTTGTCATGTTACTCAGAACTGGAAAACATAAAATGTCTACGCAGACAGACTATATTGAAAAGGGCACACACATTTATTTTATACATTTTATATTTAAAAAAAAAATAGGCAAGGCAAATGTTCTAGCTTTATGGTAAATCACTGAGAAACCTTTTCTGAAAAAAGAACCTGCGTTTTTGCTGGTACATTGCTGTATATTCAGCATGGAACTCAAGTGGACTGTGGAAGAGAATTGTTTATACTCAAAGCTCTAGTATAGATTCATATTTTAGAAAGACATAGGGACCTTGCATCAAAAAAAAAAGCAGATCTTTTTATGTTTTATTAAGATGTTTTTGTTAAATAGGACTTTAGCATTCTTACATATAATTGCTAGTTCCAAAGGAAGGCAGCAGGCTCTGTCCTATGAGACACCATCTGTACAAAAGAGAATGGTGAACTTCTTAGATATTTCTTTCCTTCACTTTAATGTTTGGGGTTTTTTTTCTCTTCTCATTGTTGTTGCACAGGGTTTTAATGCAGCTGATCTGGTTAGTCATTCTATAGAAAACAGTGGTCCAGTCCTAGAAGTTCTTAGCCAAGTGAACCTGTTCCCTAGTGAGCTAATTAAAGCATCAGCCAGGCAGGAGTGTGACATTTATCTTAGCCTCAGTACAGGTTGGTGCAGTGGAATTTAACATCCTTCTCAGAATATTTGATTTAATTTTCAGATGAAAATCCTTGGAAATACTGACTCTAAATTAAATTACGGCATTGTAGCTTGAGCAGGAAATAAAAATTACATATTTGCTTTCAGCATAATTTTTATGTTAACTGTAGAAAGTATTTCAAGCTGTGTAGTGCAACGCTTAGGTGCATACTTAAACTAGAAACATAAGTGCTAGGCCAGATTTTAAAATAGTAGCATCACCAGGAACACACACAAGGAAACGTCTTCTTGCAATACAATGCAGTTTCACAGTTCAAAGACTTACGTAGTATAGTTCTTATACTACAGCATAGTGAGGTATCAAGCCAGGTTTTGCATTCCTATTAATTAAGCATTAATTAAGCACTTTCATTCTGCTAATGCATGAAAATGCTTCTAAATGAGTTTTGGGAAGTTTCCATGACTTAAGATGTGACAATATAATCCACAAACTTTGGAGATAGAATGAACCATATCCTTTCCTCCAATATTTATTGCTGTACACTAAGAAGAAATACATTTGCAAGTAAGTTTTACAGTATTAAGTGTTCAACAAACCTGCAGTGGTTTGTGTTTTTGCTAGCTCCTATTTTAAAAAAAAGTTGAATCAAGTGCTTACCTGCTTTCACTGTTCAAACGGTGAGACAGGGGAGAGTCTGGCCTTCATTAGTAGCTGTCTATCAAACCTGTTTCCTTTGTACACTGCGTAGTCACAGCCTGATGATTAACAGCAAAAGCATGTTTCTAGCCAGATTTCCTACTTTGTGGCCTCTGTTTCCTCCCTGGTAGGCCTAAGGCAGGTTTGCTGAGAATTGTTTTCTCCCCCAGTTATATCTTCACAAAGAAACACCCCCACCAAACTTGGATGCTAAAACCAGAATTTAGATAGTCTTCAGGCATTTAAAGACTGCAATTGTCATTCCAGAACCCTACAGTTTTACTTAAACCTAGCAACAACTGTCTCTTTAACATGTGGAGCTGCTGAGCAGTTCCCCTCCACCCATTTGGAACTGCTTAGAGCAGTTCCACACCTACCTACCAAGTGGGATATCCAGAAACCACTGATGTAATAGGGTTTAATTTAGGTACAAACCAAAGGGCCAGGCCACCCTCAAATCTTGTTTGCATATGTTTTGCTTTTAAAACAGACATTTTATCTAGAGTAGCCTGAAGTCTACCATGTTTGCATAGGAGCACAGAGATCTGTGTGTGCTTTCTTAGCCTGCAAGCATTCAGTTCACATCTCCCACCCTCTGGTTGTCAATGGACTAAAGGAACTCTTGGAGCTAGTCGTGATCTCTAAAAATTTATGCATTTTGCATTGTATGTTAATTGGCTAAAAGTCTCACAAATCAAGTTAGTCATCCTCACTGAGTGATCTGAGACTAGCTAGAGAGACATAGTCTGCCCTGCTGGTGTTCTTCCCCCTGAATCTTAAAGTCCTCCCATTTCAATGGGACATGTGAGAGATAGTAGCCCTAATTTTTCAGTGAAAAATTCATTTCAATGAAATTCCTAAAGCCTTCGTTGAATCTAAAACTAAATTCCAATTTCAATAAAGAAATGCTATTAACAGATGAAACTTTACTGTTTCTATCTATTAACTGGTTCCATGAAATAGAAATCTTAATTGCAGCAAAAGCATGTGTACAAAGTCTGTTTACACTTGAAACTAAGTAAAAAGTGGCAGAAGAATAACCCTGTTTGATCAAAACCGGCGCTGTTGAGCGACATGAGGAGGATGTTAGTCATACCCTAGTAATGACTAAAATTGTGCAGTCACTGATGTAAATTCTGTCCACAGAAAGCTTCTTTGTAAATAAATACCTGGTAAAATTTGAAGTGATAAGAGAATAAATTACTCACATGAAAGCCATACCTCTCCTGTGCTGTTTGATTGGCTCACAGAGTGCCGTTTCCCAGTTACCACTGGTTATCACGAGTGGGCTATTGCTTTTCTTGATTTACATCATGTTTCCACTGACTGTTCCATAGATGTGTTACCCTTCATTATCACAAAGCTTAACAGTGGTGCTGGTGCTTTATGTCTGGGCTGATATGTCGTGTTTTCTGCTGGAATGAATCCAGATCAAGACAGAACCCTATCTTTGGGCTTTTGTTTTTTCCCAGTAGCATTGCTCCTGGGAAACTTAAAAAGGGGAAATGGTAGTACTGCTGAGCAGTTGTAATAAAAAGCATTTTATTAATTACTCTTTTTTCTGCTGTTATTTTGCACACCAGATTTGTGCTGGTTTAGCAGAACAGCTGTTTGGCTGTTACCAATAGTATGAGTCCAAGCACTATTGCAGCAAAGTATGTTTTTACCTATTTGCTGCCCCAGCTTCTACTCTGAGATAATGTAGTGCAAGTCTGTAATAGTTCCATGCAATTACAATGTTACTGGAACTATTCTGACTATATTACTGCTACTCAAAGCTGAGATTGACACACAAGCTCAGTAAAATTGTGCACTCAGAATATATAATCACACACTTTTCATTTGTTTTGGCCTACTGAATGCTGAGAGCTGCTGGAATGAACCCACTGGTATTAGGAATCAGCACAAGTGCTGGTTTTGGCTGGTGTCAAGTTAATTTTCTTCACAGTAGCTGGTATGGGCCTGTGTTTTGGATTTGTGCTGAAAACAGTGCTGGTAATAGAGATGTTTCCATTGTTGCTGAGCAGTGCTCACACAGAGCCAAAGCCTTTTCTGCTCCTCGCCCCACTCTACCAGTGAGGAGGCTGGTGGTGCACAAGGGTTTTGGAGGGGATGCATCTGGGACAGCTCATCCCAGCTGACCACAGGGATATTGCAGACCATTAGTTGTCATGCTTAGCATATAAAGTTAGGGGAAAAAGAAGGAAGGGAGGACATACGGAGTGATGGTGTTTGTCTTCTGAGTAATTTCTGTGTGTGTTGGAGTACTGCTTTCCTGGGGATGGCTGAACATCTGCTTGCCCATGGGAAGCAGTGTATGAATTCCTTTTCTGTTTTGCTTGCAGGTGCAGCTTTTGCTTTGGTTATTAAACTGTCTTCATTTCAACCCATGAGTTTTCTCGCTTTCCCCCTTTTTATTCTCTCCCCCAAATCACTGGGAGTGAGTGAGTGGCTGTGTGGAGCTGAGCCTGGGGTTAAACTGCAACAGCAGGCTATTTTGGAGACTCTTAACTTTCATGAATTACTCAAAGGAAAGAAATGGGAGTGAAAGATAGGGAAGAGATGAATTCAGAGTCAAAAGTACCTACTGTATGTTCAGTTGAAACAAAGAGCAGGGAAGGGAAACCACAGTTGGTACTTGAGACAGTGATGGCTTTTTTTCAAATATTTCTTAAACAGGGTAGGTTTTTATCAATTATATTGCTAATCTTATCATTTTGTACCTGCAGTGCTTCTCAAACCACCACGGTGTTTAATAAGCTGCCTTTTGCAAGAGTCTCTTGCTTTGCTTTTAAAAAGTCTTAGTGGATAAACCCTGGACAAATTTGTGAAATTATGAAATAGCAATGTCTATGCTGCCACCTTCAACAGATTAACTAATGCAAATTCTTTAGACACTGTTCACAGTTCAGGTGAATTATATGTGTAACTGATGTATTAATAGTTTCGTTTTTGAAGCATATATCGGTAAAGCTTTTTATGTACTCCCAATTTATGTTGTAATGAAATAAATATTTAAAAAAAAGCTTATGCTCTCCATTAGGGATTTCTGGGTAATTGTTTTTTCTTTGTTATCCATCCAATCAGTAAATGTTATTATGTTTTTTCTTACAAAGGAAAGACAAAATTATACAAATTATCACACAGGTAAATATTTATGAAATGTTTCTAAGGCTAATAAAAAAAAAAATATTTTAATTTCACAGTGCCCTGGGTGTTTGGAACTTGAAATATTCTGCAGTAAAAACATTTTCCTAAATGCAGATTAGCATATACTCCAGTTAACTTTTATTTCCTTCTTATCTTTTTGTTTGTCAGTATGTTAAAGTGCATTATTCATTTATTGAAGTTACATGTAGGTTTTTCCAGGATACTTTGCTGTATTATGTCACATATGTCAGATTTTTGGCTGGAGTAGATTTACAGCAGCATAAGTGAAAACAGAATCAAACACAATTTAAATTTCCTACTTGGTCTCCTACTTATTTTCTCATCAGATATTTTGCTTGACATGAGGTCATATGACCTAGTTGAAAACTCCAATTTTCATAGATCATGTGGGGTTGAACTTGCTGTAATTTCTTTTATTTCCTTACCTGTTGCAGTCTTTCTTACATTTTCTTAAGAAGGGCTAAATTCTGCTGCTGATTAAACCAGGGTAGATCTGGAATAGCTCAATAAAACATTTTAGATTACCAGATTTTTTTTCCATTCATCCCCAGAGTTTTGAGTCTGTTACAAAATCACTGGGGGCATCCTTTGGAAAACAAAAAGAAAAGTTCTGACTGAATAAGACTCAACCAGTCAGTCACTTGAATATGTTTTGGGCTTTTTTTTCTTCACTAGAATATAAAATTTTTAACTCTAATTTTTATCTGTGTTGTGAACTACATATTGGGAAGTTGCACATCTCTCAGGATAATTAGACCCCAGGCTCAACCTTCAGGTTTAGTCTGGTAAATTATGTGGCTTGGTCCAATAACCTGTGCCGTGATTAATTTTCCAGTTCTGAAATGCTAAACCAAACAATTTGAGCACAAAGGATTTGGATTTCAAAGACCTCTCAGTTTGGGCACACAGAATCCCCTGTTGTTACCCATTTCCAGGTGTAATGTGTCACACGTGTCCATATATTCAAAATTAAAATAAGTTTTCATAGAAAAACATCTGCAAGCAGATGGTGTTGACCTGTATTCCCCTGAAGGCAGACGAGTTTTGCTGTAAAGACAAATACTCAGTTGTTAGACTGTGCAAACAGGGAGGTCACATATAGCTGTGAACTTGCATGTCATACTGAGTAATTATCAAGTGAACAACAGTGTCATTAAACGTGACTTTACAGCCTGTGGACAGATGTACCCCTCATGGGTGGGGACAAAGGAAATTTAAATCTATGCCTAGAGACAAACCCCATTCCTGTTACAGGATGGGATTATCCAGGCAGGTGTCAAGAGAAGAAAGAAGTCCTAGGCTAAATAACAGCATGTTGCTAAAAGTAGGTTAGGAAGCAATATGTGTGGCAGTACCTGCAGTCTTCTTAAAAGTGTCTGTGAAGAGGATCTCTGTCTCATAAATCCCAACCAGTGCAGCTGCTGGTGAGCAAGCTCAGGCAGAGGGAGGGGAGCACGACTGCCTGACAGCAGTGACACCTGCCTGACAGGTCACTGGCAGTGAGCAGTGACAAGAAGGAGCTGAATGAGCATCCTCTGAATGACAGCTGTTCTGAAGGCAGAGTCCTTGGGAAGGAGAGAGAAAACAGTACAGGCCTGGCCATCTTGTGCCATGCCCTTCATTGCTCTCCCCCTGTGCTGGCAATGCTTGTTCTCAAATTCCCTGCTGAGCAGCTTTATACATGGGGAGTCTTGAAGGTGATGACATTTTATCCTCCTTTTTTTTATTTCTTTTTTTGCCTGTATTTTTCTTTGTCTTTTTTTCTTACTCAGTTTTCTCTTTCTTTACCTCTCTCATGTATTTTTTTTTTTTCCGTTTAGAGATTGTATGTATTTGTCTCTCAAACATTTCAGTAGGTAACACAGGGAGTCTGTTAATTAGGAAAAACTACCTATTGGAAACCACTGAAACTCCTTTCCTCAGGAGGCAAACTTTCCTTCTATAGTCTAATAATTTTCTTTCCTTAATACAGCCCTACATTTTTAGATGAAGTGTGGAAGACTTAATCTATCTGCTTTTTGGCAAAATGGAACCATGAGCTGTTCACTTCCTAAGAAAATAGAGAAAGTTGTGAGCAATTAAATGTCATAATGCTTGGCACCTTTTGTTAAGCTTACCTGAGCTCTTAGTCACTGCAGAACTGCAGCTACAGCAAAAAGTAACTGCAGGGTTAAGGTATAGACCAACTAGGAGGTCTTTGAGGAGTAAAATAAGAGCACAAATTGCAGCAGAATAAAGTTAATTCCCACACTATTTAGAAACCATTATCTCAGTGATCAGGGACTAATTCACTGATTACAGATAAGGTGTTTCTCTTTTCCTGTGTCATCATGATCCCCATCTCCATGTCTCATCCCATTCTGTTCCCTGACCTGCTGATCTGCAGTTCTTTGTCAATGTGAAAAATCATTGCAGAGTTTGACAGTAGAAAATTTGTAGGAATTTTAACTGTTCTGCACAGGTAAGGGGATCTGTCATCTGCAGTGATGGATCATTTGTCTCTCCCATATTTTTCTAATTAAAGAAAAACACAATCTTTATTAGAACTAGAGAAATAAAAGCTGAGATTAAAAATAACTTCAGGGAACACAAATAAGGAATATATATTTTCATCATTGCCAATCTCTTTTTAGATTGTAATGAAGTCATAGACAGGCAGAGAGTCTTATTAAAAATACATTTTAAACTATTAGGAAAATGCAAAGTCATGCAGATCCATGAAAGAGTTCCTGGGTTGGGAGCAGCATGGTGCAGGAACTTTCATGGGCTAATTAAGAGAAGATGAACCTCTTTCCTTTACATTCTTACGGAAGTTCTCTGCTCCTGTGTATCTACTGAAAGCAAATGCTGATTCTGATTGTGTGATTCAGTAGCATACCTTGGAGTGCAGTACTCTTTCACCCTATTCTAAAGCAAATTAAGTATTTCAAAATACTTATTGAAAGAAAAATTGAAAGAAGTCCCTTAATTAATCATCAGCTTCCTTCATATTGCCTTTTTACATGCTTCTTCAATTAATCCAGTGTTATTTAAATGTAGATTCTGTCTG